AGTATTTGTTAGTTTAGAAAAAGTTGATTAGACCACATTCCTCTATAGTTTCCTCAATTATCCTTAGAGAGAGGTATAATGTATTGTAATCAATATGTCCTACAGTTCAGAGTGCAAACACATTTTATCATTATTTTTTTCATTGGAGACCGGACAAACTTTTACTGATGCCACACTCCGTTGGAAGAAAAATTTTTTTTGTTAGAATTTGAGAACTGAATGTTAGACAAATCTAATAAATTTTAACTGGACATGATTATCTAAAACACTGTTGTACAGCATGCAATGTACATAATGCGTGCGCTTGAATACCTGTGTTGCGCACCATGCCGCACCGTTTTCTGAATTATCTGTTGTACACCTGGAGTAGGTGGCGCCCCGGTACGAGAACGGGAATATACACTCTTTGTTGGAAACTGTAGTGCACCCTACCAAAACAAGCACTTTTACATATACAGTGAGAAACAGAAAACGGTAGAAAATAAAGACGACATTAAAGAAATAATTAAGTGTTTTTGATGTTGTTACAACGCATATAGCTTTACTAGTAACTCATTAAATAATTTATTAAGTAAAATTGTTATGTTCACAGTTGCTGTTCCTTTAAAGATTTTCCTATTTTGATGCTTACCACACGATCTGAGGCAACGAAGGCCAGATGCACAACTGCCAGCTATTCCAAAAGGTCCACCACAGGAATCGCCCTAAAGAAGAATTGTCAAGTATAAGGTAGAAAAAAAATCAAAGGAATTGAGTCTTTGCCACAAACTCAAATTTTCTAATACCTATATTTTTAAAACCTGATTATATGAACCTTTGATATTTTAAACTTAGATTATTTGACCTAACAGAATGCATAATTTGAAATATCAAAGATTGTGGCTAAAACTCAATTTCTGAATTATTTTACTTTGGAGAAAGAAAGCTTAATCGTCTTAACTTTTTTCATAAAAATGCACTTTTCCCCTTTTCACAAATCCATTGTCTGACCTGAGAGGGGGGGGGGGGGCACGAATTGGATCAAAAAATAAACCCAAGGTTCAGAAGTTGTAAATTAAAATCGAGTAAATCTAAGGGTTTTCACAAAAAATAATGTATCATTAATATTTTTTTTTAATCTTAAAAACTTGATGGTTTACAAAATTTACAAAAATTTATCAACCTAAGGTGTACCACAAAAAACATAATGTTAAAAAATGTTTTAACCCTTTCAGTTTAGCACAAAAAAACCTAATGCTAAAAATATTTAAACCTGAGGTTTAGCACAAAAAACCCAATGTTATATGATGTATTAAACCTAACTTTGAGCACAAAAAAACAGCTGATGTTAAAAAATGTTTAAACCTGAGGTTTAGCGAAAAAATCTAATATTAAATAATTTTTTAAACCTAAGGTTTAGCACAAAAAAAGAATGTCGAAAAATGTATTAACCTAACGTTTAACACAAAAACCCTAACGTTAAAAAAATGTTTAAACCTGAGGTTTAGCACTAAAAACCAAATGTTAAATAGTGTTGATATCAAGGTTTAGCACAAAAAAAAACCTAATGTTAAATGATGTTTAAACCTGAGGTTTAGCACAAAAAAAGAAAAGGCTGTAGGAATCCTAAAATAAAAGTTTTAAGAAAAAACAACAAAAAAGCACTTGGTAGAGAGATATATTATCTATAACTCACTGATGTGGAAAAGTGATTAGTATCTAACAATCTAGGTCCCGATCAATCTCCTAATACTTGACTCTAACTCTAATAACAATTCTTCCAGACTTTATCTCTAGCCAACCCTGGCCCTATTATCTCTTGCCAACCCTGGCCCTATTATCTCTTGCCAACCCTGGCTCTATACGTCTGTCTAAAACAACGATTCGTACTATACTAATTTATTGATACAGGTAAATATAGATTGACCGGGCTGGCCGGTCAGGGTCAAATGGAAACATAGATAAAAGATAAACAAAACATAGATAATAAGGATAGTAAACTAAACATAATCCCCTGAATTTATTACAAGTATAATCTGTAAAGAAGCTTAATCGGTATAAATACATTTTCTCCCTTTTCCGGGTCGAGAGCACGTATTTACAATGCAAAAGGAGCATTTTGGCATTTTTGAAGATGTTTGAAAATTAACAATAAACACTTTAAATCCTAAATAAAAACATCTCTCTCTTTATTGATCAGATAAAGGTTTCAAGGACACCGTGGTAAATTGCGCATTACCATGTTTGCATGGAATTAAGGGTCACATTACGCTTACTCTTCCTGTATGGAGTTAATGTGTAATTCTGTTTGTTTATAATACAAGAAATTTGTAAAAAAGGCCTACCCTACAGCTAGGAATAAGAAGAGCGTTATTTTCCACATGTTTCCGCTTTGAGAACCAGAAACCAACTGATCAACTTTATACCCATCATTAAACCTACTTGGTCACTTTCTTCATGCAATCTGTGCGGCAACATTATTATTGATAATAGGGTCTCCGTAGTAGTCGAAGAGGGGGGGAGGACTAAACAGAAAGGAGG